ATCTCGAATACGTGCCGAGGGTCCTGACCACTACACTACGAAGGCATGCTAAGAAGGCGGGAAAATACCTTATAACTTAAATTTTCAAAAGCATCAATATCAGTCTAGGGACAAAATTTAACGTTTCTAATGGAATAATGAAGAAGAACCAAATATTTTCTCAATGCTCTACGTGCTGAGGATGATGAGTCAATCAGAGTTTTCACGCTATTCAAAAAAATTTTAAGTTTTTAAAAATTAAAAATTTTAAAATTAATTCTGTGTACTGTAGCTAAAAATTTGTATTTCGTTCAATTTATCTAAAACTTTAAAATTAACATTAGATTTCAATAGCTAAGACCTGCCAATTCTAGAGTCCGTTACGTTCCTCTACCATGAATTTATCATCTATACCACAAGTACTGACATTGAGGAGCTATAGTTTGCTATAGTTACTTAACAAACTAAACAATATTAAAACAATGAATGTTTTTTTAACCTTTATGTCTTCATTTAATTTTTTTAACATTATGCTTAAATGATGTAAATTATAATTAATAAACAGTATTTCTAATATTCGAAATTACATAACTTTCATATAGAATATTGTTTTCGTTATTATTACTGATTGAAAGAATCTTTTTCATTATTAATCGCAAATAAGTTTTTAAATTTACGAGAAATTATATCGATGTCTCGTGCTATAATTACTTTACAGGAACTTCCGCGCAGACATCTCAGGCATATTTTCTTAATTTAAAACATTTTGGGTTTTAATATTAATTATTTTGAAGCTTGTTCGTATTTAGTGCTAAACTGTTTCTTTGTATTTGAATTCATGAGTTAATCCGTCCTGAAACTGATATCATTCCTTTATCACTAACATAACTGCTACCTACGCACACACAAAATCATTACAGGTAACTGAAAAATCATATCTTAGCACATTCTTATTTTCTAATTTATTTGTAAATTAAAAATAGAAGAGCTACTTTGGCGGAATGTTGACAAGAATGTAACATAATTTCACATTTTAGTAAAAAAAAAACGCAAGCTTATAAGGTATTTCTCCCGCCTTCTTAGCCTGCCTTCGTGGTATGGGGATTTGCACGCTGGGCGCACATTCCAGAGATCAGTGGTTCGATTCCAGACGCAGGCGTTTGCTAATTTTTCATCCTGCCTGCTTTTCCAATTAACCTACCTAATGTCGCCCTTAAAAAAGGGGAAGTATATAAGGTATTTCTCTTACTTTCTTGGAATGTCTTCGTGGTGTGATGATCTGCACGCTCAGCGCGTCCGCGGTTCGATTCGAGGCGAAGGCGTTGCTAATTTTTCATCTTATCTATTTCCAAAAATACCTAATGTCTCTACAAGTTTACTCAAATATACATATGACGATGTATGTTTTGCGGAAGATGAAGCCAAGTCACTTTTTAGCATGGCTGAAAAAAACTCCTGCGCATATTATGATTGGAATGTATTAGGGAAAACACAACTAGTTTGATGGTTAAAACGTCCTTTTAATTTGAACAGGAGTATTAAGAATAGATTCGGAAAATACATTTTTGCTTAATTGGCAGGTGGTTAGGATGCTAAACGCCCGCCTAGAATTTCTGTGTACGCCGTTTACATTTTAGATAATAGGAAAGGAAACTGAGTGAAGACACGTGATTTTCCTTGGCATAGCAAGCAGCAAAAGAGTGATGCGTAGTATCTGCAGTAGTATTTATAAGCTCTGGAAGACATTGTTTTAATTCTGAGCGGCGATTGGGCAAAAGATTTCGCATTGCTTTTACTGCAGAGATTATTGTAGGGAACGGCAGATTGCAAATCATGGAGGTAGGAAGTAAGATGGAGTCGCCCTAAACAAGTTTCTCCGTACCCTACTCTGAAGCACCGGCGATCCCTACGTGGTGACCAAAACATTGGGTCATTTACCATTGAGTTCTATGGGATTTGACGCGTTCGGGTGTAAATATTTTGTAATTACGTCGCAAATATACATATAAATGTATATATTTTCTTTTTCTACAACACTTCAGAGTCCTAAGTATGTGAAAACAACATATTTTAAAAAACAACATTTCATTCTGAACGGAATTAAATTAAATGCTATACTTTTCACAGGACGGTTTTCTCAGAATGGTTTAATTTGAATGAAATATTTTCACAAGTTTTAGTTAATTACATTAGAAAAAAAATAAGGTAATTCGATTTTATTTCGGTTAAGGTACAAAAATTAAGATTAAAGTTATTGTATTATTAATATTAAAATTATGCATTATTTCTTTTCTATTTATAGAGCTTCTTCTTAAAATACTTTCTTAAATATGACATGATTTTTTGGCTTTTTTAAATCGAAAAATGTAAGTCAATTTATAATTAATGCTCTATTCGGTTCATTTTAAAATTAGAGAATTATTAGGAATTAGCGAAATACTTTAAATAAGTATTGACTTTCTCTGAACATTTCTAAAAGGGAATAAAAATAAGTTTTTTTTTTTTTTTTTTTTTTTTTTTTTTTCCAAGTATTATTTAAAACTTGTAAACTGAGTTATTATAAAATGTAAAGGGAATAATTCTTTTAATTATACTTATCAGATTTTTTTTTACCCTTCATTTCAACAATACATATTCCAAAACTCTTTATTACGTTCTTAAGTGCGCATCTCATAGCATTTGCTTTACAATACCTTTAACAGATTGCTTTCCAATACGACCAATTCTTGCTTAAATAGTTTTATAAACGTATTTGTCAACAGGATTTCAATTTATGCTTACAGTTCAATATTAAGGTTATTTATATATTAGATAACATTATAATCATTATAAATTAGATACATTTAATCATTAGATTTCTTCACAGTACTTTCACAGTTGTTTATAAGTGAAATAAATTCTTCATTTCAAATACATTTATAAATAATTTAATGAATATTTAAGTATTTTGTCAAAGGCAGATACATGCTTTTTGCAAGCACATGCATAAATACCCATACATATTTCCTATTTATCATTTCCTGCATGTGCAAATCTTTAATTTCTGTGCATTCACTATATTTTTCGTGTAAAGTAATTTACACTAATTTAGCATACACCCGAAAGTTTTACATAAAAAATATATATGAATATAATTTGAATGAAAATTATAAGTATTATTTTTAATACCCACTCAAAGGTCAGTTTTTCTTCAAAATTCCTCCACGATGGCATCTCTCTTTAGGCAGATAGCCCTTGCATGCGTTACTCTATTCAATAAAAACTTAAACTGACCTATGTGCCTAATTACAAATATTTTAACATACATAATTTTATATTTACATTTAGCCATCAAGTTTCAAACTTTTCAAATCTTCTAGAAAATAAATTTTGGCAGATCTCTTTTAGCAATTTTCTTAAAATCTATATTTTTGTAGTGCAACAGCTTAGAATTTTATAAAACAAATTCATAATCAAAATCGCTGTTGTTAGTTATCGAAAAATAACCAAGATGTGATTTTTGCGTAAATGTTAGTAAACTATACAAATTGCTATTATCCATTACACTATGAATGTTTCTTTCATGCGAGAGTGTCTCTTTTTCGATTTCTATGGAACTGTCGTGTGTCGAAATACTATCAGAATCTTGTCAAGCGAACTTCTGGATGTAAACAAAGAACACCCGGTCTGGTGACCCAAGCTTCAAAGCAGTGCTTCACTTCTAGCGCGGAATGGCCCCTCCTCCCTTTCCTACCTCCATGTTGCAAATAGAAGGGAAGAGGGGTGCAAGACTCTCAGACCCGTCTGTCCGGGGAGTTTTCCTTCAGGTGCGGAACTGAGTCGTATTGTTGCCTGTATGGTACCCAAGGTTCTTGACCAACTGCCGGCGCAATCTTGCTTCCTTGCCACGATGAATTTTAGTGGGCTTTCTCTGATATCAGAGAAGTGAGATTTGTCATAACAAAAACAACCTCTATTTTCAAGCACTTTAATCTGGACTATAAGTTTGTTTGGCTTCGTAAATTAAATAAATAATATTGGAAAAAAATCCCATTGAAATAAAAGGACGAATAAACCTCATTAGAAATGAAGAATTAGTGTTTTGAATGGCATTAAAGAACAATGTTTACTTGAAAAATTGAAGAATGAAATGGTTTTGTGATAGTCATTTTCCTTGGTTCTGCTATAAACAAACTTAACTATTTTTTGCAGGGTCTGATTCATCCGCCCTCAGTTAATCGGAAGCGAATTGTATCGGCATTTTGGTCTCTTTGCCTTCAATTTTGCTATCAATATTGCAAATTTCTTTCTATCATCATTCATGCAACGGATAATTTTTATAAGCTGTGAATTTTCAAGCAGTTTCAAGTTTATATTTTTGTTTCTTACTGCCCAAAATAAAACGAATTTTAGATGACGTTTTTAACACTAATAAGCTATTACGAAAAACATTTATTTTATTTCTAACAGCTACAGCTCATGAATCTCTACCAAAAGACCTGCTTCATTTTTCTGGTGATCATGAACATCTACCAAACTTAACTATAATTCATGTGTCAGCTTGACCACATTCATTTACAATAACAGCATGCTTATTTTATATTGTATTTATTCTTTTATTGTAGTATCAACAGCATATTTACATCGTATTCATTCTTTCAATGCTAGAGCAGTAACTTAATATTTCATCTCGTATTAATTGTTACGATAACAATGTTGTATATTAGTAAAGCGCCGTGAATATCTGTTTTAAGTCATTCAAGAGACACATTTAAAAAAGACGTATAAGCTAAGTTTCTATTTAAGAACGTGATACGTATATTATAACTGCAGAAGCTTAATTTTATCATCTTGCTTTTAATTCATTTAAGATAACATGCATAGTTTTAAAAAAAGTAAATATTTCATTTTTTAAAATAATAAGAGTTCAGCAACAGGATACTTCATATAAATCCTTCTTATAGTTGTGTAGTTTAAGTCAAACATATTTTAAATTTGTGTGACTATAGTCACAATAACACCTCATCGAAATTCGGACTTACCTGATCATATTATGACTGAGATCCAACACTTCCACCCAGTGTCCATAACAGTCTGCCAAAGTGTGCGGTATAGTTCTCAAACTTTGGTAAGCTGCAGTAATTTTCTTATCTTTGTCCACCACAAGCCGCACAATGTTACCTTCATTGATCATTATTTGAACATTAGTCATCATCCTCAGAGTTAAAATCCTCAAACTCTTTCCCAGGGAACTGCTTGTTTCATCAAATCATAATCATTATACGCCTGCGTTTCATGATCCCTTCTCTCAAGCTATATATTCTTATCGCTTTAACTGTTCCTGTGATCACAGCCGGTTGCTGATAAGTTACGAAAGATTTGATAAAACAGAATTCGAAACATCACGAGCTTTTAACAAGTTAAAATAAAAGATAAAAAAAAACAAAGATAAAAGACTGAAAATGATGAAAGATTTTTTCGATAAGATTTAACGAAGTCTTCCAATTTTTTTTTAAAACCAAACTCTGTTTTCTTAACACTTGAAATAGTAGCTCTTTCATACGTTATTGTTTTCTAAAAGCTTTTGTTTCTTTACACTACTTATCAGACTAACAAAGTGAAGTGTTTAAAACACAATACGTACTTCTCAATAAGATTTTGAAGCACTTCCTTGGTAGTAAGTTTTTTCAGTATTTCTATCTTTAATATAAACCATAAAGTACTTTGTTCTGCCCTGAATACTATATAACAAGCAGAACAATATTTCAATTATGTTTTATGTGTTGTTTTAAATTTATTAATTTATTTATTTTATGAAGTCTGATAGAGTTTTAAGATTATTTCTAACTTGTTTAATTCTGAATTTAGGCCTTTTTACTTTATCTGTAAGTATTTGTTAAAAAGTCATTTTAGCTTTACTATTTGATTTTAATCAAAGAATAAATAAATAAATAAATAGTTTGAAAAGTAACAAAAAACATAGCAAAGTACCCGTATAAATTATATTGATAATAAATTACAAATATTTACTTTTGGGTAGAATGTATACTTAGAACCTCTCAAATTAGTGATGAAAGATTTAATTCAGTCTTTAAGATCTCACTAAAAAGACTTTGTGTACTAGTAATATGCTGCTTAAAATTATGCAGGTAGAAGAAAAACAAGCAATATTTTTAAATATTCACATGAAATGTAATAAAAATATTCAAACACCACGTGGTCCATTAATGTATTTCAAATTAATAATTTCCTTAAAAACTAACCGTTTGTTTCGAAAAAGTTAAAGAAGTAATGTAGTAATTAATTTTCTCCTTCCTTAGCACATGCCTTCGAGGTGTAAGTGGAAGCTTCCCTACTAGTAATCGGAGGATCCGCAGTTCGAATTCCAGCGAGGGCATTGCTGATTCCTCACTTTTCCCAGCTCCGAAAGAAATCCAAATGGCTCTACAAGTAGAACCCGATATAAAAATGGAGTAGATGATGATCCAACCTGGATTTTGTGGATGGATTCCCTAATTTCTAAGCGTCATTTAAATGGAGGAGATCGTAAAGAATTTTCTTTTCCCTTACCGCAAGGCTTTGTGGTAATTAGACGGTTAGCAATTATGAATTCTGGAGTTCAAATTCTGGAGGAGGCATTGCTGATTTTTCATGTTTTCCGAACGCCAAATAAACCTAATGCACTCTACAGTGTTTCAGTCAAAGAGAAATACTTTCCAAAGTAATGTACCTTATTCTCATGATTATTGAAATTAAAATATTCTAAAAATTGTGGAAAATGAAGAAATATTTCTCATGAAATAAAAATAAATAGTACAATATTTTTTTTCTTAAAGTCAACAGTAATGCCAATCAACGATCACGATAACTTAAAGATAGGGGTTCAAAAACCATGTAAAACAAGTTCTTCAGTATCCACCTGCGAATACATGAGTTTAGAAAACATTTAATCGATCACGTTAGTATGCTAAGGTAAATTCTATTTCTATTCAAACTTTCTCGCTTAAAGTGATAGTGTTATTGAAGTGAATCTTCCAAATACGTAAACAAGGTATTCCTAACCATTTAATAAAAATTTAAAAGAAGAAGTACTGACATGGAATTTTTTCATAGTAATAACATTTACAGAAGTAATTTTGGTACACCATGAAATGTTTTTACAAAAGGCTCATTTATGCTTCAAATTCGACCTTCCGGAAGAAAACGGTTATTTGCGGAGCGATATTTTTCCAAATATTTAGTATGACAGGTTGACATAAAGAAGCCACCATCAAAAGAATGGTCCAGTATTTAAGGTGAGGAACTTCACGGCTCCGAGAACAAAAAGCTTCAGCAATAAATTTAAGCGACTGAAAAGTGTATTTATGTTATAACTCAGTCTTTTATAAAAATTGCTCATCGAACTAGATTTCCACTTACGAAAACCTTTTCTCTTAAGTGTTAACATTATTGGCTCTTTTATATTCTCATTTTCGATCGTAAGTACTACTTAATGCTATGTTTTGAACTTTTAAGAGTTCTTTTCACTTTTAAGTGGTATCAATCAGGTTTTAAGCGCATATGAATACAGTGCTACTTAAAGTGCGGTTTCCTAAAAAAAATTATATCTTTCAATAAAGCTGACTTGCTCAAAAGCGTTCAAATTTTTTAAGCAATTTTTTTTATCGTACAAAGTACCTGCTATTATATAACTGTTGATTTCATATTTATTTATGTCATATATTATAGGAAAATATATAAAGAGGTGATTAATATGAATGACTAATGTAATAATTATATAGAGGAAGCTGAAATGGAAAACCGTAAGAATGAGTGTTAATAGAAAGGACTCACCCGTAGTAAATAATATATGTTTTCTTACTGATTTATTTTTGATTTACTTTTTGGTTTACTTTTGATTTATTTTTCACGTCGTTTATTACTGTGATCAATACATATCCGAAATGATTCCATTAACACGAATTCTTACCGGTTTTCTCGAGAGTGTTCTCGAAGGCAGGTCAAAAGCTGTATATATATATACCCTGCCTGTACGCGGAGTAACAGGATATCTTGAGGGTATTTAGAGTAGGTTGAGTTCAGAGCGATCGACAGAGTCAAGAGCTGTACTTTAATGCTTTGCCGTGAAGCTGTCTTCACTGTTGTAACCTGAAGGCTGTGTTTTTGACTATTTCAGCGTGTTTATCGTATTTTTCGACAACTGTATAAGTGTCTTTTGAACTCTCCTGTATAATACTGACGAATAAATTGTATTTTGATTCTTCACCCAGTGTTGTCACTCCAAATCCATGAACCCAAGTATTCTTAACAATCACGTCCCATGACGGTGGTTTCGCGTTGGCGTTGTAGCTAAGCAGAAAGGTTGAAAAGAGAATTCCTTTGAACTGCTCCTTAGCTGCTTTCTTGGCCATGTAATTCATGGAAGAATGGCTGCCAGAGTCTCAAGGAGGTTGGACTTTTACTTCCGCCCCAGTTCTGAGGAAGAGCAACCTGGGGAGTCGAGAGTCACCCACCCCTCTCCCATCTAACAAACCATACAAGAGGACTTTCGGCTCGCCATATATTTAGAGAATTCCTATGCTGCAAAGACACTATACATTTACGAACATCATGCCTTCTTCGGGGTTCGAACTCGGGCTCTTCGGTGCGGTAGACTGCCTTAACCGCTATGCCGTCTGGACGGCAACTGTTCCTTAGTGAGAGACATAGGAAGATTTCACTTTTACTCATTTTCCATTATCTTTATTTCCTTTTTTAATAAATTCACGAAATAAAAATTTCAGATGAACACTTTAAGATCGTGAAAAATGTATTCTCCAAAAATATCATTAAAGAAAGTTTTCAAGAACACGCAGTATGCAAACCATCAAGGCAGTCGAAGGCAATTATTTGATAATATGGAATTTTATTAGAATCGTGAAATTTTAGAACAGCTTTAGATAAATCACAAAAAATGCCGAAACTTATGTACTCTTTTTACTTTGGAAGGTTTACTTTCATAAAGGGATACCTAAAAAAATTTAATTAACTGTGAAATCCGTGAAAACAACCATATACATAGCCTCTTTTACTAAAAACCTTACTGAAACGACAAGTGCATTGTAGTTTGTCCACCTTGAACTTAACAATCTAAGGCGTCTTTATCAATTATTGCTATGCAAACATTCTTTTTGCTACTTAATTTGTTTTTATTATATTATTTAGAGTGATTTAGAATGCTAAATCGCAGTGGCATTACAGAACACAGAAAACTCAAATACTCAGGTGATATTCTAAAGAAAATTAAAGGCCTGTCTAAACTGGCGAGCTTTGATGAGTCAGTTTTGGCTTCCCTCAACACGAATTGATTTCTAGCAGATGTTTAAGTGACATATCTGTGTTTTGATTGCCTACAAAATAGTTCGCTCTTCTTCTTGGAAATACAGATCGATAAAGCGTGATCGCAACAGGTACGAAGCATGGTACTTTAGAGATATTCAGTCTTAGTACTTGTACGTCTAGACAGTTCTGGTCATTTCCAATGATGGATGACTTACAGGCTGCTCACAATGAGGACGTTCTTGAATCTGAAGTCACTTTTTGTCTCAAGTTTGGAATTAAGTGTGTAAGGTCCCTCACTTGAAATTCTAAGTTAATGTTGGAAGTGAGGGACCTAGGAACTGATAAGCGAATAATCGCTAGAGTTCGAAGACAGGAAACAACAAGAGAGAAGGGTAAATAACCCTTTATTATTTCTATAAGATTTAACAAAACTCCGCCTGGGAGTGAACAAATAAAGTCCGCACTTAGGACTTGAACTTAAAAGACTAAGAATTAAACTAAAACTAAAATTAACTAAGTATAGCCAAAGCTATCAAGGTTCAATGAGAGTTGGCCTCTTAACCTATTTTATTACGAAGCTAGCAAGGGCCTGAGTACGGCCGAGCATAAAACAGCTTTTGAGAGAGAGAGAGAGCCAACCAAAAGGCAGACGCGCGTAGTGTTCAGAAACTCTGTTCTCTCTCTTGTCTCAGTAAGTAACTTCGTGGTTTAAATACCGCCTCCTTCTCATTAAATATTCAGCAAATTCCAAAACTACGTTCTGGCCGGAAGTAGTAAGTTGAAGTTAATTATTTGACAGGAAAGGAACTTTAACTTAAAATTTAACTGTTAATAAAATTAACATAATCCTTACAAGTGTTTTTAGATTGTTATTATCCACCTTCGTGGGGATCTCACAAGCTACTAAGGGTAATTTTAAAGGCAAAAGGGTACTAAGGGTAGATTTAAAGAGCGGACTAAGGCAAGTAATGAAAATTCCTGCAACATTCGCAGAGTAGGTCAACTGTTTCGTGGTCGAGGATTTGCATAGACATTTCGTTTCCAGATATATATGTCAGAAAAAGTAATAACTCACATAATGTGTGGACTGTGATTCTAAACTAATAAGTGGACTGTATAGCAAAGAACTAACTAATTTATTTACAGTAATTAACTATTCAGATCTAATACATGCTCTGGCATGTTGCTTAGCCGAATCCAGATGACAAAGTGAGAGTTTCTCTCCCTATCCAATAGGTGGCGCTATATTCTAACTTAACATGCCGCCGCCCGTTGAAATTACAAATTTCAACATGTAAATTACAAACAAACATACAATTTAACAAATCAAGAACAACTAATTCTACAATACAATATGAAAGCTAATAGATAATCTTTCATCATGAATATAATACAAAATAATGCAATATTTTAAAAACATAAACATTCACTATGCTACAATCGAACTTACTCTTAAACAGTTACATTTTAATGTAAAGCACAATTTTCAATAAGATCATAATGTAAACTAAGCATTATTATCCTGGATAGGTAATAAACAAATTTTACTAATACATCGAATATACACAACATCTGATGTTTTCACTTTAACAACTCTGGCCTTATTATCTCAAATGACTTAATACCTGCTTTCCATAAACCACCGAAATTTGATGCTCTAGGTGGAATTAGTTTCCAATTTATACCTTTAGATGTTAAGAAATTGCTATGTCAGAATTAGATTTAAGGACTAATCTATGCAATTTTTTTAGGTTCTGAGTTTGCACCAAGCATATTAGTACCGTTATCTGACATTATAGTATTACATTTTCGACGTGTAGCAATAAATCTTTTAATAGTAGCAAGTAATGAATCTGTGGTTAAATCAGTTACTCCTCTAAATGTATTGCTTTAGTAGCTAAACAGATGAATATAGCAACGTACAACTCTTGCCGATAATTACCTTTTCTTGATTTTTATACTGATGAGGAATGGACCAGAAAAATCGAGTCCACAGTATTAAATACAAACCCTGGATTAACTCTCTCACTAGGCAAATTCCCATAAGTGTTCACATACAATTGGTTAACCTTAAAACATGTTACACATCATGTACAACTTTTCGAGCTATATCTCGACCATTAATAACCCAAATTTACGAACCTGATGCAATGTGCTTGAGCACCAAGATGTAAATATTTAACATGGTAATACTGAAAAATTATCTAGTAAATACATGATCTTTGGGCATTACATAAGGAAACTTTTGGGTTGTAATTAAGATTACTATTGGCAAGTCTGCCTCCTACTCTCAGAAGAGAATCATTATCTAGAAATGGACATAAAAATTTTAACTTACTTTTGGAAGAAACACAATTCTTATTTTTAAAGACAGAATATCCTTGCTAAAATGCTGTAACTGTACATACCTGATATGATTTTCTCAGCGTCATCCAATTCTTTAAACAGTAGAGAACCT